TGCACATTAATTTAAAGTGCCATTTAGAATTTTTTTGAAATTACATTGTTTCACGCACATGAAAATTTCTTTCCACGTCTTTCTAAGCCAGGTCATTTAACAATCTATCTTTCCATTCATCTTTTTTTAATTTAAATAATGTTAAAAATGCATTGTGCACATTAATTTAAACTCTCATTTAGAATTTTTTTGAAATTACATTGTTTCACGCACATGAAAATTTCTTTCCACGTCTTTCTGAGCCAGGTCATTTAACAATCTATCTTTCCATTCATCTTTTTTTTATTTAAATAATGTTAAAAATGCATTGTGCACATTAATTTAAACTCTCATTTAGAATTTTTTTGAAATTGCATTGTTTCACGCACATGGAAATTTCTTTCCACGTCTTTCTAAGCCAGGTCAGTTAACAATCTATCTTTCCATTCATCTTTTTTTAATTAAAATAATGATAAAAATACATTGTGCACATTAATTTAAACTCTCATTTTTTTTTGTTTGAAATTACATTGTTTCACGCACATAAAAATTTCTTTCCACGTCTCTCTAAGCCAGGTCATTAAACAATCTATCTTTCAATTCATCTTTTTTTAATTAAAATAATGATAAAAATACATTGTGCACATTAATTTAAACTCTCCTTTAGAATTTTTTTGCAATTACGTTGCTTCATGCACATGCAAATTTCTTTCCACATCTTTCTAAGCCAGGTCAGTGAACAATCTATCTTTCAATTCATCTTTTTCTTAATTAAAATGATGTTGAAAATACATTGTGCACATTAATTTAAACTCTCATTTAGAATTTTTTTCGAATTACATTGTTTCATGCATATGAAAATTTCTTTCCACGTTTGTCTAAGCCAGGTTAGTTAACAATCTATCTTTCCATACATCGTTTTTTAATTAATATAATGATAAAAATATATTGTGCACATTAATTTAAACTCTCATTTAGGATTTTTTTTTTTTAATTTACATTGTTTCACGCACATGAAAATTTCTTTCTACGTCTTTATAAGCCAGGTCATTTAACAATCTATCTATCCATAAATCTTTTTTTAATTAAAATAATGATAAAAATACATTGTGCACATTAATTTAAACTCTCTTTTAGAATTTTTTTGTAATTACATTGCTTCATGTAATTACATTGCCAATAGAGCATTTGTGGTCCTACTTGGAAAACCAAATTCGTGCTGCCACGCTTTCCCCTCGCAATGTGAGGGAATTGCAGGACCAGTTGGTGAGCGCTTGGTCCTCAGACTACCTATCAGCACCTTGTGGAATCAATGCCACGGCGGGTGCTAGCAGTTTTGAGGCCTAAAGGTGGTCATAATGTAATGGCTCTTCGGTGTATATGTGTGTGTATACATATACATATAGGGTATAGTGGGATGAAATCTACATCGATTTTGTCGAAATTAGTTTAGTTTAATTAGTTTTAGTTTTCTAGCGGGCAAACTCTGAATTACACTTCATTAGTCAAGAAAATGGACCTACCATATTAGCGAGCTGTTGTTAATTCACGTTGTCTGTGCAGATAAATTTGTTTTATTATATCAACTCTCTAATGTTTTGTTGTTTTTAAGCTATCTTTATTCATTGGTCATTACAATTATAAAAGTTATTTTTAGTCCAGCGTATTATACATTTAGTAAAGATTTATACCCTTACAAAAAAAAAGGACTTAGATCGATAAGTAGAACTTCTCTGTTTCGTTTCGACAACTTCAGGACGTGGTTAAACCTATCACCGAAACAAATTTAACTGCTGGTCCATCCTCGAAGCTCAAAAAGCCGTATTTTAATATTTTGAAGACCCTTTACACAAAATCAAATTTTTATACAGATATAAAGATACTCTTT